ACCGTGAAAAAGCCAAAAGAGATAAAGCTCTGTGTGTGTGAAGGCTGCAGTATGCTGTACAACTACACGATTATATAGGGCTCATTTTTTCTTTATAATAAACCTACTGAACATTTTATGTGTGTGTTTTCTTTTTTATTCTCACTGTAAAAAGGCTCACCCACAGAGCCGTCAGACAAAATCAGCACGTAAAATCCGATAATCATGTTTTTAATGTCTTTCTTTGACTGATCCAGTTAGGATCGGTAACCTGTGGTAACCTGTGGTAAGCCTGCTGTACCTTCATTGTGAGTTACTTGATGGTGTTTTGTTATTGACAGTTCTTCAGAAAGGTGTTCATGCAAATTGCCCGTTTAGCGTCAGGCAGAGGTGATGAGCTTGTAAAAGGAAGAGGTAGAAATTGGACTGAGCCGAGCATTTGGACGTAGACGCACACGAGAGGACAGGAGCGAATTCAGCTTCTTAAGAGCTGAATAAACCGTTCTTGGCTTTGGAAACTAGCTGTGTCTCTGATCAACTGCTTGCTTTTGGGGGGTTTGAGGCTGAATTATCCTGCTTGCTTCAGATAATTCAGCAGTAAATGATTATTCTGTTATCTGACAAAGGGAACAACCTTCCTCAGTCTAAGAAGCTATTATGGCCGAGCTGCACGACCTGCAGTTATATAAACCTAAAAAAGCAGAAGAACTCAAGGTTAGCAGCAGTACTTACCTGCACGTGATAGAAGTGCACCTTTGCATGATGCACAGTGAAGCTTTCTGACAAATCGAAATAGATCATTTAAATAAATGCACTGACCTTTGTTTCAGTGTGTTTCCTATTAGTCAGTGACACAAGCAGGACAGCTGCAGTTTGAATAATCGGGGTTTATTTTTAGAATTTGCAGATTTTTCTGGGTTTTTCGTGGTAAAATCGTTTTGTGGGAGTCGGCCACCCTCTGCATATGAATCTGGAAACTTGTATTTCTTTGGGTTATTTCATGTTTTTTGAAAACAATAACTCGGTTATAGGCAGTAAAATAAACGATGGGCAGAGACGAAGCACAAACAGCAGTGCAACTTTAAATAAGTAACATCTGGCCTTCTTGATAATCTGAAGCTTGTGCATGAAATTGTCACCATCCTCACTGAAAGGGCCCCAACCAGGAGGTGTGTGTGCAGCCATCTCGAGTTTGCACCAAAATGGAGGCCGTGGCCACCGAAAAGCACGGGCACGGCCTCCTCTGCGTCTGTTAACATGGCCGTCATCCTAATCCCAACTTGGAAGGAAAGAAAACCGAAAACGGGAACGGTCTCCTGAATAGTAAATGATGCACCTGCTAAATCTTCCCTCAAGGATGCAGGTTATCTCCGTTTCGCTTCATATCCTGCTTTCTGTGTTCATCACCGTGACTCCTCTTCTCCCCACATCTGTCTGTGTGTCCGCAGGGCTTCCTGAAGAACGAGAGGGACAACGCCCTCCTGTCCGCCATCGAGGAGTCTCGCCGCAGGGTCGGTATCCGTCCAGAGTCTCGTGGCCTCGCAGTCTTTAGTCCTGCAGTGTAGAAACTAGTTCACAGGCACTCTCAGAGTAACGCAGGCCTGCAGGGCGCACGTCCGAGTGCGATTATACTTTTTATTCTTTAGATGATTAAAAAAGAAGATGATAATTAGTCCCCACAGTCACAGACACCGTGTGTGTTTGTTTGTCGTATACTGAGGTTTACAAAAGCTTTGTTTCACTGTCTCGTAGCATCACAATACGAACACTTAAAAACGACATTTTTAGTCATTTCTGCTCGCTGTGATCTAAAAGTCCTTCTGGTGTGAACCTTTGGGGAATGGTTCTGAAATGGCTTCCCTGATGTGCAGAGCTAATAGGCCCCGCGTTTAATTAGCTGCCGTTCCCATTATCTGTCTGCGCTCCCCGAGAGAGGAAAGGGACTTATGTGCAAGGGTGGGGAAAACAAATGCACTGAAGATTAAAAAGAAAGCGGGTGTTAGATGTTCCTGCAGATTTTTATCTCGTAGCTTTAGTTTTGACATCAACATGGTTGTTACAGTAACCACTGCAGCTGTGCTGCTGCATGCTTTGTGTTTCTAAAACTAAAAATTGGGCAGGAAAAAGCCTGATAACAGAAAGTAACACATTTATAACACGAAACTTTTTAAACTGTTAAACTCCTGTGATGTGCTGCTGACAGGAACGTTTATACTCATGATTTAAATACAATTTTAATATCTTTTTAGACTTAATGCAGTTTTTAAATTGTTTAAAGCTTTGACCAAGTTAACCCAGTAAATGGTGGCTTTAGTCTAGATTTGCATCTCCCTAAGCTGGAGATTCAATTATCTCGAGTTCCCATTATCTCACTTTGAAGTCTCTGTGGAGGGTTAAAATAGACGCCGCCGCGTCCTGGTGGACGACTTCACAGGGGTCTGCTGTTAAACCCAGTTTAGTGTGCGACGTTCATCTTACCGTGTGGATGTGGATTAACGTACTTGTACTACAAGGACAAATTATTTTGCTTGTTTCTAGTGCAGACCCCTCCGCTCATCCTGCCTGCAAATGCATCATTTTAGCTCCTTTAACTTTAAGGTCATCTTGACTTTAAGCCGACTTATTTGTGATTTGCTGCCACTCACAAACGGGAAGGTTTGAGTACCTGGTGCTGGGGCAGAGACCATGTTAAGGACAATCCCAGCTTGATCCCAGTGAGCTGTGTTTTTCCCACAAAAGCACTGAGATCTCAAACCAGCAGCACCAAAACGATATTAAAGGTTAAACCGTGTCAGTCTGCATGCTCGAATATGACTGGAGGCTTGCTTCCCATCGCCGTTTGTTCAGACGTTCCTGCTGGCTGAAGAGTACCATCGGGAGTCGATGCTGGTTCAGTGGGAGCAGGTGAAGCAGAGAGTGCTGCACACGCTGCTGGGAGCAGGAGAAGACGCTCTGGACTTCAGTCAAGACGTGGAGGTACGGGAGAGAGCCGTATGAGTGCTCACGGTGGCACCTGCACATTGTAAATGATGTGTCACTTTAATGCATTCATGAATCTGTTATTTGTAGTTATGAACAATAAATTCAGAGGTTGTTCTTCCAGCGTGTCTCAGGTAACGTGCAGGTGTGTCAACAACATGCTGGATTTATTAATCGTGACCTCGTTCGAGTGCGTAGGAAACATTTCTGTAGAGATCAGAACTGTCAAGTGCTGCATCGTTCCCGCTTCATTAGGTCTTACAAATAGCATCGTTTTTGTAACACATTTAAACTTCTTGGACTGAATATGTCTGCTTCAAAGAGCCACACACTCCTACCTGTCTACCTGCTCGACTAAAACAAACAAGGTAGTGTTTTCATCTCAGACTCAGAAACACTATTTTTATCATCACCCTGAAACAAAAACAAGACTTTGATCTTATTGTGTGGGATTGTGTCCCAGCGTGTGTCGAGCAGACGGGCAGTAATCACGGGACGTCCTGTCTCAGACTCTCAACATACAACGTAATGAGCAGCAAAAGTTAGTTAAACGTTTCAGCAGCACACGGCTGATCTGCGACTTCTGTCTTTGCTTTACCACCTGACCTGCGGTCATTACAGCCCAGCTTTGTGAGTGAGGTGACCGCTCCAGGAAGAAGTGCACTGGACAGCGTGGAGGTGGCCTACGGACGCCAGGTGAGTCCCTGATAGTCTAATTATTTTGGTGTGAAGATTTCAGGTAAATGCACACAGCACATCATCATTCCTGTTTTATGCAAATTACCTTTCAGTGCATTCAAATTGTGGCGTTTTGCACAGCAGGTTATTGTCACTGAAGCATTTTTCTATCAGGTTAACGATGCAAAATCTGAATACAGATGTTCCTATAAGGGAAATACATTTTAGTGGCACTTTGGGGTTACTAAAATGTGTTGTGCTAATGCCTAATAATGCCTGTTATTAATTGCTTTTTCTTATATAATAAATATGTAGCTGCATAGAAGGAGAATAAACATGTGTGTTGATTACATGCTGGGATCTAATGAAGGGGAAAAGGAGGACAGACCTTGGTAGTATTAATAATAATAATAATAATAATAATAATAATAATAATAATCATCTCTAGCTGTGTTCTGTTAAAGACATAAAGCTGTCGGCCGATCGTTTGGTTGAAACGGGGTTACAGCGAAGCCTGGAAGCTGCAGATCAAACATGGATCAATTGTTCTGCAGAGGGGGCGCGTGTCCCCGCCCCGGCGCTCCACCCAGCATCATCCAGGATGACCTTCTGTCGCTTCCACTCGCTGCACCACACGTTATTACTTCGACCATGTGTCGGCACATTGCGTGCGGCGTCGTTTGTCTGATTTTCGTGATCCTCTTTGACGACCTCGTCAACATTTTGATGCTTTTCGTGCTGTTTTTTATCGTGAACCATTTCACTCGATGGTCGTGACAAAAGGTTCATTTTTAACTGGAGGCTGAGTTTATATGAAAGTTTTGACATTTCCTTATAAAACGAGCATTTAACAGTTTGTGGACCTGCCTCCGTTTTGTTCTGTCAGATCTACATTTTCAATGAGAAGATCGTGAACGGTCACATTCAGCCTAATCTGGGAGATTTATGTGCTTCGGTAGCAGAAAGCCTGGACGACAAGGTAGGAACGCTGACCTCTCACTGATGTATCAGCCTGAAGTTACTTGTTACTGACAGATGTAACAGATTACTCGGTATGAACGCACCTTTCTCTCTCTTTCCTCCAGAACGTGTCAGAGTTGTGGCTGATGGTGAAGCAGATGACAGACGTGTTGTTGGTTCCAGCCAAAGACACTCTGAAGAGTCGCACTAGTGTTGAAATGCAAATGGCCTTTGTGCGCCAGGCACTTGCTTTCCTTGAGAACAGGTAGCCCTGTTTCTGTGGATACATGCACCGGATCTACAGTTTGCTGAAGCTAGAATGAACCATAAATATGAATTCTGTCTTTCCCAGTTATAAAAACTACACCATGGTGACCGTCTTTGGGAACCTCCATCAGGCCCAACTAGGAGGGGTGCCTGGAACGTACCAACTAGTGCGCAGCTTCCTCAACATCAAGCTACCAGGGCCTCTGCCTGGCATGCAGGTACCACACGTGTATACACTGTTTAAATGTTGGGCTAATAAAGAGCCTGCAACACGCAGCTTTATTTAACTCCTACAGGCCTCATCACTTTTTTAAAAATTGCATTTTTATTATTTCCACTCCAGTCGTTACCTGAATAACCTTTACCAGACTCAGGTGCTTTCCTCACTGTTGCAGTAATACTGTCTGTGCAGGGTGACCCAGACTTGGTGCACGAGTAGGGGAGACCGGGGATAGTTGTAACATTTTTGACATTTCTGTCTGTAAATTAGAGCTCTTTTAAGGTAGTGGATTCAAAATGTAATGCAAAGTATTTACATGTCTCGGCTATTAAATAGTGCAGCTATTTTCTCTGCAGCACAATTACCCATTGCATGGTATGGTCTCA